TATTATTTTGGTTTTCAACCAAAACCATGAATGTTGCCTATTATTTGGGGTTGATGTTGTTTTATTTTTAAAAATCATGTTTAATAAAAGAAATAACTATATATTACCCTAAATTGGTGGATAATTAAATTGTCTTGCTTTGTGTCTTCACTTGCTTAATAAATTAATTAGTGTTGATTTAATACTCAACGGGTCAAATATTTTTTTTATTTCAAATTAAGAAATAAATATGTATAACCGATAAAAAAAGAATTAAATATGTATAGATAATATATTAATTATTTTACAAGCTAGCCCTAATATACAAGTAAAAAATATATGATAACCCTATTGATTTTTAGCAAGGTTTTAAATAGCGGGCTAAAACGTTTATGGCACTATAGCTATAGCGGAGATTTAGCGGGATTTAGCGGCTAAATTGCACATGAATACAAATAGCGGCACGCTGCCAAAAAAAAATATTTCTCAAATAGCGGCAACTTTAGCGAGCTATTTATTTCCTTGATTTTTAGACTTAAACGAACAAAGTCGTCTGAAAATAATTCATTTAATATCTATGTCCCGTGCATTGCACGGGGTACGTACTAGTTAGAATAAAGGAGAAATTGTAATATAAGATACGATCTTTTCTATTTATGCCACTCAGATTGTCATTTTTTCGAATTTTAAAGTTAAATACATCAGTTTTTTAGAATAGAGAATACCAAAATTGAAAAACAGTTAAATACATCAGTTTTTTAGAATAGAGAATCCCAAAATTGAAATATATTAGTATAAAATAAAATTTAAATACTGTCACTGAGGTAAAATTGCTACTTATGCATCACAGTTTACTAAAATCCAACACAACCCCCCAAATCTTGCAGATAGAGTGCTCATAACATCCACATTAATAGTACGACTGCTCAACAAGCATAGTTAGACCACTTGAGAAAACAAAACAAAGCATGGCATCCATACTAGCATTCACTAAGCGGTATTCTTCGAAGCAAAAACCGCCGGATTTTAGACCGTAAAGGTAGCACGACGGATTTTAGACCGTCTCATCAGCCAAGTCCACAGACAAATCCTCGACATTTCCCTTACATTACAGCCGGCTATACGACCCAATGTCTCACAGCCCACAAGTATTCGAGCGCAAGATTCATTTCAAGCAAAGCGTACACCAAAAGATAGAAAACCAAAAAGGAACTCCAAACCTCAAGAAACAGTTAGTTTAAAATGGTTTCACATATCCCACAACCAAAAACAGAACACTAAAAACTTCAAGAAGCAAACGTCCAATTAAATAATTAAATAATAAAAAAAAAAACGAACAATAACCCAACTCTGAACCCGAGTCCAAAACGGTAAATTCACTCATGAAGTGCCTTCTTGGCGGCATCTTCCTCCGCCTTCATCTTCCTCTCCCATCTCCTCTTCCGGTAGTCCGCCAGCATCTCCGGCATGGCCTGCATGAGCTCCGCCGTACGTTCCCTCTTCTCGGCAGCCAACCTGTCGACCTTGTGCCCTTTCCTCTTCGTCTTCATCTCCTTCCTCTCGGGGTCAAATTCCCAATCTGCCCCTGCAAGGAGGACCTCCTTACGGA